ATATTAGACTGCATCCTGATAAAGGATGTTATCTTTAAAAGCCAAAGTTAGGTTTCTCCCTAGGTGAGTGCCTATTTCTTAATGGAATATTAAGGAATACATGAAGGGAATGCATTGTCTGGATGTCTGTCCTGTAAGAGCACAATATTAGGAAGGGGAAGTTTTATGCACTTTAGAAGGTCTTCAGCACTGCTTAGCAAATTAACAACTGTAGAGGAAAGGGGGCTGCCTTCTCATGGCCAGAGAGGTCAACAGTAACTCCAGGTCTGTGTTGCTAGCTTTGTGGTGTTACATCCCACTGGCTGCCATGTTCTGGCTGCTGTTCTGGGCCAAACCCAAAGCACACCTTCTCTTGCTGTTTCCTTGTTCAGTTTTCACCTTTCAGACCCACAGCCATGGGTCCCGTGAGCATGTTCCCTGCTTCTGTGGATTAAATGAACTTTCCAGTTCTTGCCTGCAACCAGCTAAGTAATATTGCCTCTTCCCAGAGCTGTGTGCCCTGTTTGCATGTATTTGCTTGCACGTATTCTCTTTATTGATACTGCTTGCAGGAGTTTCAGTCAGGCATGTCTACCGACACAGCAAAAAAATACCCCCGGAATTTACCACACAACCAGAGAACTTGCTTTTAAACTAAACTAATATTTAACCTTCTTTGTTTAGTAGAAACAGGTTTTTGACTTTGCTTTGTCTCATTTGATGCATCTAGCTTTTAGTCCCCCTGGTGACTTTGAGCTCTTTGCCCACATTCAAGCAAATTTAATACAAGAGCAGAGCTCCTAGATGTTTCTGTAGGTTTCTGGAAAATGAGCAGTGAAGAAGAGAAGGGTCCCACTGGCATCCCTACCAAGAGAAAGGCTGCAGCATGACATCCACCCAAATTGGGCTGCACCTGAGAGGGAGAAATTACAAATGCCTCTCTCCCCAGGAAGAGCTCACATCCCATTTAGATACTAGAGAATCCAACCCTGAGGAAACAAGGCCTCATTAGTGTCATTGCCCGAGGAACTACTTAATTAAAGGACAACAGAGTTGAGAACATTGTTATGTGGGCCTTTGTTCCTTACACCTGGTCATTTCCATTGATGCAAAATGCCATCTTTCTGATCTGGTAGCATTTGGCACCCACTTTAGACAAGTATTCCTGACCAGCCAAGAAGGTGCAGAGTGGGAAAGGATCAGACCTTTATTACTGAGGTAATTACAGCCTCACCTAGCCATCAGGCAGAGGGTGTACACCACTATTAGCCAGTGCTCCCACAAAGAGAACAAAGGCTGGCTAGGAAGTGGGAGCCACCCAGGGAGCATCCCTGTGTCCAGCTACAACACTCTCAGGCGACAGACATGCTGGGAGGTCATGACCACAAGCTCTCGCATCTCTGAGTCTCCTGGTTTTAATCCAGCTTGACGTAGCACTACTGGCGAAGGCCATGAGATGGGGAGACTGAAACAAGAAATGGCACCATAACCGACAAAATTAGTGCTGAGTTAAAATGCTAAAGTACATAGGAGGTAGCTATTAAAGCTTGTCTCAGCAACTAGCCTAAATCTGTTGCCAAAAACCACTGTTGAGTGCTTTTGAAAATTTTATCCTAGATGCTTGGCTCAAAGACCTTAACCAATGTTTTTTTTTTTCCTTCTATCTGCTGTACAAAAGCTAAATATAAACCCACGTTATTGAACAAAACCCTAACAAACCCCCTGTTGCAGGTCTCAAAAAATCTTTACTCAGGAAATTGAATTATTGGAAATCAGCATCTAAAGTGTCCTTTGGTTTCAGATGCTTCTTTGTTTTGTGTACACAGTTTGGCATACAGAAGGATGTTATTTCCAACAGCAAATGTTTGCCTTCTGTTCTTTTTAAGTTCTCCTATTTGGCTTTTGTTCTACTGCCCTCAGAAAACCAGAACCTGAGTGTCTCCGGATGGGTAGCCGAAGTTCCTTTTGAAAATGTGGATTAGTTTGTTTTGTCCATACAACTATGTGCATATGTGTGTCTACTGTTTGTCTGCAGAGAGTCTTAATGACTTTTCCACTGATTGACTGTGGGACCACAAGCAAGTCATAAAGCTAGCGTGTGCCTCAGTTTACCCACTGCAGCTTCATTAGTGCTAACCTGCCTCATGAGGTTGTAATGTTTAATACATTGTGTGCTCTGTAATCCATGGATTAAATGTATTATGTAAGTAAAAAGCATCTATTTGATGTATATGCAAATGCCACGGTATAATAGGTAGGAGGGTCATTTGGGTGTAAGTGTAATACAGGCGCTGGCAAAGGGCAAAAGGGATTCCATTGTATTGACTTATTTTTAAAGAGCTTTTTATTTACTGAAATGCTCTGGACACCCAGAAAGAGAGACATTCCTCACTAAGCATGTCTGCCGTTTCATCTGTCTCGAAGCGCTTTGATAAATGGATTGAAACTTGTCGGCTTTTCCTGTAGTTTCTGAGACTCCCTCTGGAAACCCTGTTGAAATGTTATTATGGTAACTTCTCAG